CTACAGACAACCCACACCCAAACCCACTGCTCGCTCTTCAGTCTGAGGGCACTCAGTCCCTCCATGTATAGCCCTCCACTGCCTGTATATGTGGGACAGGGTTTAGGATTTTACCTTTAAATATTTTTTTATGCTGAAGATCCAAGCCTGTGAATAGCACCAGATGGATACCGTGTTTTGGGTTTCAGATAACATGGCAGATTTCCCCCCTTTCTCCAGGCACAGTCTAAACTTACACACAGTGGTCCAAACTTCCCCCTTCTGCCTTCGTTACATCAAATTATAACCTAAGCTCTTCTTTTCAAATGGGGCAAGCCTGATACATTCCTCCTTGTGGATTCCCTCTGCCCTCTTCTCTGATTTTGTCAGCTTCAAGGTACAGGTCCAACCTCTACTTACACCCTGATACATGCTTCAGCCAAATGAGCTTTTTCACAGGCAGCCCCGTTCTCTCCCTGACTGCGTCTTGCAGACATGAAAATGGAGAGGCAAAAAGCTGCTGCCCAGCTCCATCCTCTCGTCCCAGCAGCCTGAATTCCCCAGGCTTGTCCCCTCCTCTGCTTTTGTAAGGAGAAAAGGGATGTCTGTGTATATCTGGACACAACTCAAAACCATCCCGCGCTTACCTGTGTCCACAGCTTCCCTGTGCGTGCAGCCTACCTCAGCCTCGGCCCATGATGATGGACGGCAGTTACAACGACGGGGATGTGAATGAACTGGGGCACTACATGTCTGAGAACGGAGACAAACAAGACCGAATGATGGTGCAGCTGGCGCTGGGGTCTGAGAGGGGCTCAGGCAGGAGGAAAAACCTGAGATACGTCAGCATGCGGATCGACACTCATGCCATCGACAAGTACTCCAGGATAATATTCCCTGGTGCATACATTCTATTTAATTTGATATACTGGTCCATTTTTTCCTAAACATACGTAACTTCTGTAGTCACAGAGCATTGTGACATAAAATGAAAGTACCATCTCATAAGCTAACAGAAAGAAAATGGAGAATTGTAATCGGAAGGAAGATTGATTTTTTGCAGGATTTTTTTTTTATTAGATGCAACTCATTTGTGGCATAAATAATTGTGCAAGTTTCACATTTCAGCAAAATATAGGATATACAATCTAAAATTTTATACTTAAAGCTGTGCTATCTTCCTTCTTGTGCCTCACAGGCTACTGTAAACCATTTTAACAAGTGACTATAATTGCCAGTTGCTTATATACGGTGCATCCTTCATTTTGTGCCCCTGAGATCCTAATTCTCTAAGTACCTGAGTGCACACATACATCTCTCAACTCAGCAGACCATGGTCAATACCAATAAATACAAAGAATACACAAATACTTGCATGTTTGCAGGATGAGGTCAGAAATGGTCATTACAAACACAGAATATCCAGAACCAGGAAACACTTTGGCAAGGTTACTGCTGGCTAAAGCTGGCTTACACTGCTGGATGGATGCTGCCCTAGCAGCACTGCACTGACAGGTCCACATAGGAATACTTTCAGATTTGTGCTTTGTCTTGATCATATTTAAAACAAAGAAATATTTCCAAGCTGTTTTGACTATCTTTTAAAAATGTGGCTTGCAACGTACACTTACTAAGGAATGAACAAAAGCTGGACTTTCTGCGATGCTAACCAAATCCTCTGGGAAATGCAGGAGCTCTCCTGGGAGAGAACACAGGTTTCTCTACAAAACAATCCCGTGAAGACAATCAGGTGTCTACAAAAAGACTAAAACTACTTAGGAGAAGCCACTTCTCTCTGAGATAGTCTGGGTGTTACTGGTCTGTACAGTCTGAGAACCTGTTGCAGCCTGTAACGTCTTGTCCCTGCTAAAGCTACTGGCAATTGCACTCGCTTCAGGAAAAGCCCAGTCCATCCATTTTTAGTAAAAGCATAGTAGAAAGGTACTCAACAGGTGACAAAGCAGCTGTAAGGATTTTATATCTGAGTTACTAAAGACACCATGCCAAAAACGTTGGAAGGAATTAAAAAGGAGCTTCCACCATGAGACAGCAGCTCCATTGCAGACCCAGCTACATCTGCTTTCATGCTGCATTCATCCCCCGGCACCCTGCAGCCCACCGTGCCCTTAGAGCAGGCTCAGCACCTTCCAGGGCAGGAGCAAGGAAACACAGATGGAGCTGGGGGCACTCGGCATTGACTTAAGTCCAAACTCTCCATCACAGTTTCTGTAGAGCAGCCAGCCAGCATAAACACTCCATATGGAAAAGGCAAAATCTGTAATGCGGAAGTAATAAAATATTTCAGGAAAACAAGAATCAGTTGAATGGAATCAGGGGCCTTTACAATAACGGGAGCACCAAAGGTGTCTCAGAAAGCGAGGCCGTTCAGCTGGTCTGCCGTGTGTTATCCACCTACATCCACAAAGCTAACTGAGGGTTTGGATTAATAGGACTTTAAATACATGCATGATTTTGCACACAATTACAAAATTCACTATTCCCTGCAGAGCAGATGCTGTTGTCTTTTACGGGTGTAGCTGCTCTGAGAATCAGACCAAAGCAGTTGTGTCTCCGAAATGAAAGTGACTCTTCTTACATGAAGTCTGCCCTGGACTGGCTGATCTGCCACTCTATGCGTTAGGCTCGTGACACAGACATCGCAGCTGTTTGAACACTGCTGGTTGTTGCTTTAATTTCCTATGTAAATAAATGTCATGTAAACATACTTGGCATTTCTTACAACTGCTAAAATCACGACCTGCAAAACTACCTACACTCACCTTGCACTTACAGCCTACGCTCCATAGGTAAGGCAATGAAATCACAAAAGCTAAAATCATTAAAAGACACACCCACCCATAAGATAGTTTTACTACTCATTTCTACTTAGCTTTTTTTTCCACATACACATACTATCTTAGCTTTGTTTTACCGAGTTTCCTTTATATCATATTATTCTACAGTGAGGTTTTTTCAAGAGATTAAAAAATACATTTTTTCTTAAACCATAAACATTTCAGTCAGCTGAAAGTAGAAAGGTCACTCTGGCAAAAGCAGATGAAAGGCTGGCCACCAGCTTTGGCCACCCTACCTTATTCCCATGGCACCTTCCCCTGCAAATAGCTCCAAGATTTCTTGGGCACTACTTGCACAGGAATGTATTTAGATCCTCGGCATTGTAAGAACCCATGTCTTTCTACAAATTTCTTTCAACAATTATAATAGCACGAACAGGAGTGCCAGATCTTATAGTAAGCTCTCCAGCTTCATAAGAAGCTTAATGCTATGTAGTTTGCTGCAGTACTGCACATTCCTTTATAGACTCGTTAGTCTCATACTAGATACATTCTTTGGCATCTGACCAGTATATTAAGGGAGATTTTGAAGATACAAATGGGAGCTGGACTTTCGAATTCCCTGGCTTTCAGTGGGAGACTGGTTTCTAACTTCCCATGTGATTTTGAAAGTTTCCTTTCCAGCGCGCCCTCCTAAAACAGGTTCCCCAACCTCCACGTTTGGATTTACATTGTTAATTTACTTGTGTTTTATTTGGAAAACTCTAGTGCCTTTTCAGTCTTATATAAATGTGTATATAGATGTATTCTATAAGTACATGATATGTCATATACAGCCAGTGTTTGCTGTCAACAACTGTACTCATTAAACATATTTACATACACAGTTTTTTGGCTTTTAACCTTCCAGTGTGCGGTTTTTGTATCCAATCATTAACACTCTGCTCCTTTCCATTTCCACAATAAATCAAGAGTGATTTATCTGGTTTTGTTCATTTCTAGAAACACTCAAAATCACAATAAGACTTCACATTTGTACAGCATTGCATGTTTTCTGCCTTCGAAAGAATGATCTTCATGAGATTATACATGTACATAAGACCTTTTTGCTCAGGACCCGATCCAGTCAAATACCGAATGGCCTTAAATCCTGTGACGCTGGTGGGGCTGGAGATAGGCAGGGCTTTGATAAGAAGCCTGCACGCAAACTCAAAATGACAGAGAAGGTGACACTAAGCTTTCCACCCCATACTGTGCACATTACAGTCCTCATTCTTCTTCCTTAGGGTGATACTTTGCAATATAATTCAGACCGATTTCTTGGAGGTTAACCCAAAGCCCAGCCTGGGACAATGCTGGTTTTAGAAGTTGAAGTGTATCGGCAGGTTTGTGTGGATTATGGATAGACACAAGTTCTGCCTGCGAGCATGTCTAGATTAAGAGCTTTGGAGACTGAAGTCTTTAAGGATGCTGATAATAAGTGATAGGGTGAAGCAGCAAGAAGGTAAACTTCAGTCAGAAACAGATAGAATAGTGAGAAGGCATGAAGAAAGATCAATGATCTCTTTTCTTCCCCAGTAAAAGGATATTCTCACAATAATCAAATCATTAGGTATCTTTTTTTCTGCATGTTACACGCCTGAGCAAGCAATTCTCTCAGTACAAAACAGATGCAAATTCCCTGCAAGCCCTGATGAGCAAGTAGAAACCCCTGGGACTCCCCTCTCCTGTGCTTGCTCATATGGCAGCATAGTATTTGATGGAGCATTGAAGCTGCAAGCAACGAGAAACGCAAAGCAACTGAGACCACCTGTACCACATGTTCCGCAACGGGACACAACTAGCTGGGTGGCAGCACGATGCATGAGGGCCGTTCAGACGCTGAAACAAATCTCTGCAAGCTGAACAAGTTGTAGGGTGAAGCATGTTTTAGTCTCCAAGAACTGAGAGTATATGTAAACAGGAAAACTAAGGAAAATCACAACTCCTGGTGAATTTTAAGTACTTACCAAACAGTTGTTACGAAACAAGACGCCAGCATTGTAATTCTGATGAACATGTACTACATTTGGGTGCTTTTATCCTTCCATGGGGTCTTGAGAAGCTGAGAAGAGATAAGCCAGTATTACATTTGCCGGTTATCTTTGAGACTAAACATCTGAGAAGATAACTTTGCATAGGTACTCTACAGCAATCATAAACGATAGCACTGCATAACGGTGTATAGCTTATGGCTGTTAAGGCTATCCACAACCGTGTGGACTTCATTCTTTCCTAGGACTGAGGCATTTGGCTTCTCACCGCTTTTAAATAAGGAAGTTCAGATGCAGTTGCGGTTGAGAAAAATCCTTGGTGAGCTTGTCAGATACTTTTGGCTCCCATTAGTGCCTAAAGGAAGCTAAACCAGCAGCAATCTTACCCAGCTTTGGCTTAGTAGAGAATTTGGGTAAGAACTCTTAAGAGGGATGCACTTTTGTATCCTTCATAAAATCACAAAAATCTTGCAAAACTGCTGCAAAACAGTGGCACAGAGCCACGCTGCAATCTCCTCAGGCTGGGGAATGGAGGTGAGGTGACTGCCCTAATAAAAACACGTGTGGATGCCAGCAGCAGTCAGCCAGCCAGGCTGGCGGACAACGGCTCTGTGAAGGGCTGCTACTTTCAGGACCAGGAAACAGTAAACCTGAGGGAAAAACAGGAAATCATGTAGACCAACTTTTTCTTTATTTTAAAATGATTTAATCCCAAGTACTTTGCTCTAAATAGGAATCTGTTTTAAAGAATTCTGTTAGAAAGTTATGAGAAGACCACTTTCAATGAATGCTAGGCAGACTTTTTTCAACAGCTAATGTGTTATGATTCTTATTTACAGGAACACAGTTTTGCTCTCTGTAGTACAGCGCACTCAGGCAATGGGCACTAAATGGTGACAGAAACATGATTCACAAGAACACACAGCTGCTCCCCATTTACTGTTTGTAGAAAGGCTGCTGGACCCTTCTACACCAGGTAGCTTAGCTCACAGGTTACAAGTTCTCTCCCTCAAATCTTTTCATAAAAAGAAATCCATCACATTTCATAGGGTTTTTATGGTGTTTTGTTCTGTTTTTCAATTTTTTTAAATTTTTGTTTTGAACCAGGCACAACTTGAGTGAAAGTTCTACGACGTATTAAATAAGGAAACACTGTAGCTTGGTAGGCTGGCAGAGGCTTTAAGTTCTTCACAAAGTCTGGACACAAACACCTCATCCTTCAACAGCTGCGATTTGCTATCAGCTGTTCAGAATCACATCAGCAATTACAGCTTATTACCTACACATTTTGATTCATTGCTAAAAGTACTATTCTTGACAAATATTCTAATATTCTTAAATTACAAACAGCTTGGAGAAGACTACAGTTAGAGTAACTTAAAATACATGCCAGATATTTTCATACACATGTGATTTATGAGCACAAATTACTGAAAATCAAAGAGAGTTTTATTCCCAAGGGAAATAAATTTCATAGAATCATAGAATCATTAAGGTTGGAAAAGACCTCTAAGATCATCGAGTCCAACCATCAACCCAACACCACCATGCCCACTAAACCATGGTCCTAAGCGCCTCATTTACACGTCTTTTAAATACTTCTAGGGATGGTGACTCAACCACTTCCCTGGGCAGCCTCTTC